GGTTAAAATAATAAAAAAATATATAAAATTTATAATTTTATTTAAATAAATTTTTATATTTTATTATATTTAAATAAATTCTTAATTTTTAATTTAAATCCAAATAAATTTTTATTTTTAATTTGTTTCTAATAAATTTTTAAAATTTTAATTTATACCAAATAAAATTTTTAACATAAATTATTCTTTTATTTAAAATAAAAATTTATTTTAATACAAATTAAATTTTAAAATTTTCATTTAAATGAGTTACATGTAACATAAATGACATAGCATAGGGGCTTTTTTAACAATTTAGACAGCTTGTAAAGAAACGACAAAGAGAAAGGGGTACATCACTGTCAATTCGTCAAGTCCAAAGGGCAAAATTTTCTACCCAAATCAAAATAATAAAAAAAAGCTCATATTTTTAACAAATAAGAAAAAATCCCTCTAAAGTCTCAGATTCTGGTTCGCTCTCTTTTTCTTTTCTCTGATCGGATTCTCCACCGAAAAGAAACCTAGCCGAGGCAGTTCCGATCAAATCAGGTAATCTTACACTTACTTTTCATGATTTCTAACGGCTCTGATTTAATTGATTTTGATTTTTTTCTAATATATATATATATATATATATTTGGTTTAAGGGCAAAAAAGATGGATGGATCAGGAGGAAGAGGAGGGAATGGAGTGGATAATGAATTACCGAATTACAAGCTTGGAAAAACGCTTGGAATTGGCTCGTTTGGAAAGGTTAAAATTGCTGAACATGCTTTGACTGGTCATAAAGTTGCTATTAAGATTCTTAATCGCAGAAAGATTAAGAATATGGATATGGAGGATAAAGGTAATTTTTTAAAAAAATTTGAATGAATTTGTTTTTTTTTTCCTTTTTTTTTGTTATTAATGATTGAATTTTTTTAGGCTTTGTTTAGTTGTTGAAGTAAATAAAAAAAAAAATCTTGAGAATTAAGAATATAATTTATTAGAATAACAAAATTCGTGACCTTTTTTTTCTGAATGATTTCTTAAGTTCGTTATTTTGAAAGATTGAATTTCTTAGGTTCTGTTTGGTTATTTTTTTGCTACTTGTTTTTTTGCTTTCAGAACGAAAAAAAGGCAATCAATTCAAGAATAACAGAGTGCATGATTCTTAAGTTCATTCTTTTGAATGATCGAATTTCTTATTGCTTTTATATTGGAAATAATTCATTGAGTAAAACAAAAAGAGAATATTTAGTGCTTTGTCGACCCATCTTTTGTATCAGTCATAGGTGCATGAATTCTTGCATCCAGTAGTTGAATTCTATGTAATTATTGATTGAAATAAGCTTAAGTTTTGGTGCAGTTGGAAGAGAGATTGAAATTTTGAGATTGTTTATGCATCCTCACATCATACGATTCTATGAGGTTTTAGAGACAGCAACAAAAAAAAAAAAAAAGAATCTTTAGCGCTTTTTCGACCCATGTGCTGCAATAGTCATGGGTGCATGAATTCTTGCATACAGTAGTCAAATTTATGTAATTATTGATTATGGAGACTTAAGTTTTGATGCAGTTAGAAGAGAGATTAAAATTTTGAGATTGTTTATGCATCCTCACATCATACGACTCTATGAGGTCATAGAGACAGCAGCAGACATTTTTGTGGTTATGGAATATGTGAAGTCTGGAGAACTCTTTGATTATATCGTAGAGAAAGGAAGGTTGCAGGAGGATGAGGCTCGCAACTTTTTTCAGCAGGTCTGGTTGGATATTCCTGTTTATTAGTATTTATCTACTTTCTTTTTCTTCTTAGAAATTATAAATATGGAATCTTTGTTTGGAAGCAGATAATTTCCGGGGTGGAGTACTGCCACAGAAATATGGTCGTTCATCGAGACCTTAAGCCTGAAAATTTGCTTTTGGATTCCAAATGCAATGTGAAGATTGCCGATTTTGGCTTGAGCAACATAATGAGAGATGGTCATTTTCTGAAGACAAGTTGTGGCAGCCCAAACTATGCTGCCCCAGAGGTAGGAGTTTGTAAATTAAATTAGTGATGGATTTCTTACATTTACGGTCATGAAAAGGTGGATTGTTTATGGTCTTATTTTATTTAATAGAAAAGTTTATGATGTTATGATGGCATTTTCTAATGTATATGGATCTCCATTGTTATAGGTTATTTCTGGGAAACTATATGCTGGACCTGAAGTGGATGTATGGAGCTGTGGTGTTATATTGTATGCCCTTCTTTGTGGCACCCTTCCTTTTGATGATGAAAACATTCCCAACCTCTTTAAGAAAATAAAGGTAAGTGGCATCGAATTTTCATTTTTGTAAACTGAGATTTCTCTTAGGTCTCTGACAAATAAGTCTTGATTATATGCTTATGCTACCTGATCTTCACCTTGTTGTTTCTCTATCCTGTCAATAATTTCGGAATTAGATTTTCACTTTCAATCCTGTTTCTTACCTGCTTAAATCCTGAAATTGTTGATGCCTTGGAATTTACATTATTTGCCCTTTAGGAGGGCATATACACTCTTCCAAGCCATTTATCTCCTGGTGCTAGAGATTTGATCCCACGGATGCTTGTAGTTGATCCAATGAAGAGAATGACCATTCCTGAGATCCGCCAGCACCCGTGGTTTCAAGCACATCTTCCAAGATACTTAGCTGTTCCCCCACCAGATACAATGCAACAAGCAAAAAAGGTTATTAATTTTTTTTCTCCTGAGGTCAACTCTAGTTGTAGATATTCTTATGTACTTTTATATTAACCCCTGAAAAGGATTGACATGACATGAAAATCAACCATTATGGTCAAATAAATATACCTAGAGTGCATTTCCTTGTAAAATTCTGAACTCTTGTCAGCTTTTGGATGTAGTTTTGCTACACTGTAATACTGTGGTTAGTGTTGTGGAGGAAGCCTTTTGAACACTCATGCCATTAATGCTAAAATGGAATACTTTTTTATCATTTTGTTCTATTTGCTCGTTATTGGACTCTTGGAAATAGGTTTGCTCCAATAAGTTATTTCCCTACCATTCCCTACCCACTAACATCCTCTTTTTGGTTGTTGACACAAGCCTTGACTTAATGCTTTCTGGATCATATTGGAAGATTTAGCTAGCCATTTGGTAGTGCCTGAGAACTTTTGAATTATGCTATATTAGATATTTTAATACTTGTTATTATGTCATGGGCTAGTTCCTGATTTAAACATAATTTACAGATTGATGAGGAAATCCTTCTGGAAGTGGTCAGAATGGGATTTGAAAGGAACCATCTGGTTGAATCTCTTCACAACAGAATTCAGAATGAGGTTTGACCTTCTCCAACTCGTCGTTTTCAGGGTTTTTAGGCAGTTTCTTATTGCATTCAGTATATTCCAGGGAACTGTTGCTTACTACTTACTATTGGACTATCGGTTCCGAGTCTCAAGTGGCTATCTCGGAGCTGAGTTTCAAGAAACTATGGTGCGTTTTTATTTGTATTTTTTCAACTTATTGCCAACATTGCTTATCTAAAGCTGCATCATGTTATTGAATTGATTATACTTATGAAAAGAAAAATTGAGACTCATGATTTAATAGAGTCCACTGTTGAGTGACCTACTTCTGTTACTTTAGTTGATTGAATTATCTTTCTTCTTTTCACATAGAGTTGAAATTCTAACTTGTTTTTTTTAATCCATTTTTCTAGGAATCAGGCTTCAACCGCATCCATCCAAGTGAACCTACAACTCCAGCTGTTGGACACCGTCTTCTGGGATATACTGATTATCAAGCAATGGGTTTAAGAAGCCTTGAGAGGAAATGGGCTCTTGGACTTCAGGTTGAATTTGTGATTTTCAAGTGATTTTCCCACAGTCAGCTTTCTATTACATTGATAGTAGTTACATGGGTGATTAGACATCAATTGATAGGCATTCTAAGGTCTATGCTTTTTTTTTTTTCAAATAATGACTGGCCATATGAAAAATGAACTGTAACCAGCAGGATAAATGGGGTTGATACTTTTACCTAGTGAGAAGTTGGACAATTGAGACTATATTTAATATGTAGCAGATGTGGAGTTCCAGTAGTGGGACAAACATCTTTTATGTACCAAAGTTTGACATTGCACTGTTTTAATTTTTGTAGTCTCGAGCCCATCCTCGCGAAATCATGACAGAAGTTCTCAAAGCTCTTCAAGAACTCAATGTCTGTTGGAAGAAGATAGGGCTTTACAACATGAAGTGTAGGTGGTTTCCTAGCATTCCTGATCTTACTGAAGGCATGGTTAACAATCCTGTGTGCAATAATCACTACTTTGGGGATGAATCAACCATTATAGAAAATGATGGTGTTACCAAGTTGCCGAATGTTGTCAAGTTTGAAGTGCAGGTAATCTATAACTGATTTTTTCTGATAGCAAATGAATTTTTTGAGAAAATCAGGTGTTTGGGGTTGAGACTAGATGATTTATGCTACTGCTTATTGTAGATTATCAAATGCCCTAAATAAAAGTGCTAACATATTTTTGCTGCCATGGATGCTGACAGCTTTACAAAACTGGCGAGAAGTATCTGCTTGATCTTCAGAGGGTTCAGGGGCCACAGTTTCTCTTCTTGGATCTTTGTGCTGCATTCCTTGCACAGCTCCGGGTTCTCTAACATGAGAAGCTTATATTTCTAAGAAACGCTGTCCATGAATCTCCTATGATGCAAGTGAAAAGGAACATTCGATGTATATAACTAGTTTCTTTTTCTTTTTCCTTTTTAGTTTGACTAAAACTTCACCTTTTTGTTATGGAACCCTCCATTTTAGATGGGTAAGTGTGGATTCTGTCCTCAACGCTAGGGTTGGCCAAGGCAATATTGTGTTAATCCAGGTTCTGACACAGTTTGCCTTAATCATAACTAGGGTTTCCACAATATTTGGAACCTACGGGAAACTTTTATGAATTATCATGATAGAATTAACCTTTGGTCTTTTTTATTTTTCAGCAAACTATGCTATTAATGTTCGCATAAGTCAAAAATTTTGATGGGGTTGGACCTATTTTTCACTCCCACTCCACTGTTAATGCAGTATTATCAGCATTCTGTTACAAGTCTCTTTCTTGCCTTATTTTTGGCATGACACATTGATTGAATGGTCTCTTATTTTTGTTCAAGCAAAAGCAACTGAGCATTCAATTTAGCTAAACATGCCTTGGGTTTCAGTTTTTGGGATTGATTTGGCAATTTTTATTTTTTTTGGCACGTAAAAGTTTTGGGTGATGGTGGTTTTCCCATTTTAGTGTTAGGACAGAATGTGGGTTTTAAAGATGATTTAGATTAGATTTACAAATAGTTCATCAAAGATGGATTTACAAAGGAGATTACTGGAATTTGAATCTAATTCTTATAAGCAAAATATTTGCATCTTATCAACCTAAATCTATCATTTGGAAGCATTTTTAGCAGCCAAACTATGCTGGTTTGGTGATTTTTGGCAGACATCATAAAACAATAATGCCCGAGGATCAAATCTAGTTTACTTCATCGGGATACATCGAAAAGAATCCTCTTTTGGCAATTAAACATCCATATACTTAGAGCAAGGGATATGAGGCTGCTTATTATTGTACACTGAATAAGGTCAAGGAGGATTTGAAATCTTCGATATGGAGATTACAATGACTAGGTCAAGCCTCGATCAAAACCGATAAAAGCCAAAGCCAAGCCTGCCTTGAATAAGTTATGAGCTGAATATCCTATATCAGTAAGTTAACCAAGCAGATTGGTGGAAGATCAAGTGAGCTCCAAAGAGATTCACCATCATTTCCTGTTGAAGACATATCCACTGAACTTGGAGATGAAAACCCCATATCACTTGAACTTGAAGAATCAAATGAACTTTTTGGGCTTTCCTCCTGTTTTTTTCCCATCATTTCTGAATCATCTCCTTTCACATTCTTCTCCATTTTGTTCTCCTTACATGCATTTTCAAGTTTCATTAATTGTTCTGGCCTTGCTCTCCCCATGACATTTTCTGAATCAAGCTTTAGCCTTAACAACTCTGGTATCCCATTGAAAGCATAGAGAGAAGCTGAGAATTTGCGTTCATATGTCATTCTCTTTATGGCATCACTAATCATTGAGGGTTCATCTCCAAAACTCTCTGGCTCCATTGGTACCTCAATCTCTTCAGCAATCTGAAAAGGAGAGTAGTAACAAGATGATCCAATATCATCCACAAACTGGAAATCCAGTGCCTCCATATCATGGCCTTCTTCTCCATCCTCTCTTTCTTCTCCCAAATCATCATCATCAGCCCTGGAAGATTGAACAGCATCACTGAAAGTGAAATTAGAATCCAATTCTCTCCTTTGAGAATCTTCATTATCACTTAAACATGATTCAAGGCTTGTTGTCGAGTAGTCAGCGGCATTTGCAGTTGTATTGTTGATGTTATCATTAAGAAAATCAGTAAACTCAGTATCCAAGAAATCTGTTGTTTCTTCTCTATACTCTTCTGCCTGCTGCATCAGTCGCCGGTTGATAGGTGGAGAAGTAGGCAAAGGAGCATAGGAATTTTCCCTTTCTTTAAGCCTTTGGAGAAGGAGATTAGTAATCTTTGAAGAAAGAGCCGGGGTTGATTTAGATGATGGAGAACAAGGCCAGAAGTTTGTCCTTGTATTGGCACCGCGAAGCAAGCAAGCAGCCTCATCATAGGCCCTGGCTGCTTCCTCTGCAGTATCAAAAGTGCCTAACCACACCCTTATATTCTGCATGGTGTCTTTAATCTCAGCAACCCATCTGCCTGATGGCCTTTGCCGGACACCAACAAATCGCTTTCTAGCTCTTCTAGGTCCTCCTAGTGCGGCTGCTGCTGTAGCTTCCTTCACCATTTCATCCCAAGCCAGTGTTTGTTCACTAGCAACATTTTTCTCTTCCACCACTTCACCAACCTTTCTTTTCCTAGCCATAATTCTTTTTCTTTGTATATCAAGTGAGTTTTCTTCTATTCAGTTATGGCAGTTGGCAGATAATTTGCTGCTTTGGTTCTGTTCTGTTGGTCTGCATTTATATGAAAAGGAGTGAAGATCCTGTCAAATGAGATATGAAAAGGTTTTAACTCTTGTTCATACCCTTTTGTTCTTTTTAAATTTCATCTCCATATCAAAACACATGGATGCTTCTTACTCTCTCCTTGAAAATCATGAAAAAATATTAAAATGATTGCTGCATTTCAGGCAATTTTGGCCTGACCAAGTCAAACAGGATCTTTGCTTCCATTTGGTAAGTTCTAAGCACTTTTTTTTAATAATGCAACTCAATTTTTAGTACATTTTTTGCAAATAATCTAATAGCGTTTCAACTGTGGCATTTGGCACTTCTAGAAAGTTTGAATGTCTAGGACAAATGTATGTTACATGGACTCAAGATAGAATGTTGGAAAGGATATGTGTCCGAGACAAGGATGTTATGTTTTCGAAAATTTTTAACCTTAATTTAAGGATCCAAGTATCATACTCGTATGAATTTATAAGTGCTAAAGAAATGTTAAACATGAATACGTTAAGGTAAAGTGAAAAATACATGTAACACAGTCTCTAAATGGCTTGAACATGTGATCTTCAAACTCAGAGAAATTATATCATATTAGAGATAGCTGATACGAAAATTTGGTCCTGGAAACTTCAAAGCATCCAATTACTTTACATTCTTCTTTGATGAAAAGTCTTGAAATGCTACCTAAATAACTGTTAGAAGATGTGTTTAGGACTATTAATGTGGATTCATTGAATGTTTCATGTTGTTCCTGTTTTTCTGGTGTTGGTTATTTTTTTGTTATTCATGTTGGTGATCATTGCTTAATCTTAGGATTATGATTTTAGTGGGTAGTTATTAATTAGGCTTTAAATTGTAATGTTTCTAATGTTAAGAAATGTAACAGTGAGTAAAGTTTTCTTTGCTTCAAAAATAACAACATTTGGTATCAGAGCTCTCTTCTTAAGGGATCTGTGTGTGAAATTGACGCGTCATGGAAGCTGAAGCCAGTTTCTCCGTAATTGCTCCGACGGTGTTCGACGGAGATAACTACCAGATTTGGACAGTACGTATGGAGACATACTTAGAAGCTTTAGATCTTTGGGAAGTAATGGAAGAAGACTATGAAATTCCTACATTTCCAAACAATCCCACCATGGCACAGATTAAAGCACAAAAAGCAAAGAAGACAAAGAAATCAAAGGCAAAGGCTTGCTTGTTTGCTGCAGTCTCATCCATCATCTTCACTCGTATCATGTCTCTGAAGTCAGCAAAAGAGATATAGGATTATCTCAAGAATGAATATGAAAGAGATGAAAGAATTAAAGGGATGCAAGTCCTTAACTTGATTAGAGAATTTGAACTTCAAAGAATGAAGGACTCCGAGAGGATTAAAGATTACTTTGATAAGCTTCTGAGTATCGCAAACAAAGTAAGGCTTCTTGGATTTGAATTTACTGACTCAAGAATTGTAGAAAAAATTCTTGTTACAGTACCTGAAAGATATGAAGCAACCATCATTGCCTTAGAGAATACAAAGGATCTGTCAAAATTTTCCTTAACAGAATTGCTTAACGTTTTGCAAGCACAAGAACAAAAAAGACTGATGAGGGAAGATACAACAATTGAAGGAGCTTTGGTAGTCAAGCATCAAAATGTGGCCAAAAGTAAAAGAAAAAAGAAAAAGGATTTTGAAGGAAATGGGGCAAGTACTGCATCAGCCAATGCAAAAGGAAAGAATGAAAATCAGAAGAAATCATATTCACCTTGCCAACATTGTGGAAAAAAGGGTCATCCTCCATTTAGATGCTGGAGAAGACCTGATGCTAAATGCACTAAATGTAATCAGATGGGGTATGAAGCTGTTATCTGTAAAAACAAAATTTTGCAACATGATGAAGATACAAAGATTGCTGATCAAGAAGAGAAAGATTACCTATTCGTAGCTACATGTTTCTCCGACATCGAATCAAATGAGAGTTGGCTTATAGATAGTGGTTGTACTAACCACATGACACATGACAAGGATCTATTCAGGGAACTAAGCAATGCAAACTAATCGAAAGTTCGAGTCGGTAATGGCAAGTACATAACTGTGAAGGAAAAAGGAACAGTTGCAATTTCAACTTGTTCAGGTACAAAGTTCATTTCTGATGTATTATATGTCCCTGAAATTGATCAAAACTTGTTAAATGTTGGACAACTAATTGAAAAGGGTTATAAAGTTATGTTTGAAGATAAAAGTTGCTTGATTAAAGATGTAGTTGGCCAAGATATTTTCAAAGTAAAAATGAAAGGGAAAAGCTTTGCTCTAAATCTATTGGAGGAGGAGCAAACTGTTTTCCCAATCAAAGAAAATATCACTGAAGTATGGCACAAGAGGCTCGGGCACTATCATCATCAGGGGCTGCTGCAGATGAAATCTAAGAATATGGTAAATGATTTTCCAAAACTTGATGATCATATTTCAAACTGTAAAGCATGTCAGTTTGGAAAGCAAAGTAGGAAACCATTTCCCAAGGCAACATGAAGAGCATAAAAAAAGTTACAATTAATTCATACTGACATTGCAGGCCCACAAAGAACACCTTCTCTAAAAGGTAGTCTTTATTATGTTACATTCATTGATGATTTCACCCGTATGTGTTGGATCTTTTTTTTAAAGTACAAGTCAGAGGTAGCTCAAGTCTTCTGGAACTTTAAAGCCAGAGTTGAGAATGAGAGTGGCTGTAGAATTCAAACTTTCAGATCAGACAATGGCAAAGAGTACACCTCTGAAACTTTCACTCATTTTTATGAAGAGACAGGCATCCAACATCAATTAACCGTTCCATACACTCCATAACAAAATGGAGTAAGTGAGAGACGGAATAGATTCATATTAGAGATGACACGATGTATGCTACATGAGAAGAACCTGCCAAAGCAATTTTGGGCTGAAGCAGCAAATATTGCTATTTTTTTGCAAAACAGGCTTCCCACAAGAGCAGTGAAAGATCAAACACCCTTTGAGGCATGGTATGGTTATAAACCATCTCTGAATTTCCTTAAAATATTTGGATGTTTGTGCTTCACTTATGTTCCACAGACCAAGAAAGATAAATTAGATAAAAGAGCACTTTCAGGCATCTTTATTGGCTACAGCTCAGTTGCAAAAGCTTATAAAGTTTTTCAGCCACAAACTGGAAAAATTATTATAAGCAAGGATGTGCACTTTATGGAAAATGAAGAGTGGAACTGGGATGATGTAAAAAAGATGGATCCAACCTTAAAAGAGCATAAGCTCAAGTTTTCTAACATTGGAGACTAAGAGAATGAAATGGTGGATGACAGTCCTATCGAAGGTACAAGACTATTTTCTGATGTTTATCAAAGATGCAATATTATTGTGTGTGAACCTATAAATTATGAAGAGGCCAAGATGGATCAAAATTGGATTGCTGCAATGAAGGAGAAGCTATTCATGATTGAAAGGAATGAAACATGGGAGTTGGTTGATCGACCCCAAAACAGAAAAGTAATTAGAGTCAAATGGGTGTACAGAACCAAGCTTAATGCTGATGGCTCAATCAACAAGTATAAAGCTAGACTTGTGGTCAAAGGATATGCTCAAATACTCGGTGTGAACTATTCAGATACCTTCGCACCAGTCGCTAGACTCGACACCATCAGGCTCTTACTCGCTGTTGCAATATAAAAGAATTGGAAAGTGCACCAATTAGATGTCAAGTTAGCATTCTTGAATGGTTTTCTGCAGAAGGAGATTTATGTAGAACAACCAGAAGGCTATGTTAAGGAAGGAGAATAAGACAAGGTTTATCTTCTTAAAAAGGCATTTTAAGGATTGAAGCAAGCTCCAAGAGTTTCGTACAGTAGGATTGATGAACATTTACAGAACTTGGGATTTGTCAAAAGCTTATCTGAATCAATATTATATGTCAAGCACAATGGAGCTGACATTCTTATCATCTCACTATATGTGGATGACTTACTTGTGACAAGAAACAACACAAGTATTGTGAAAAAGTTTAAGCAAGAGATGATGAAGTTTTTTGAAATGACAGATCTTGGATTGATGACCCTTTTTCTTGGAATGGAAATCAAACAGAATGAACATGAAGTCTTCATCTGTCAGAAGAAATATGCCAAGGAGATTCTGAAGAAGTTTAAACTCGAAGAATGTAAAGAAATGAGGACACCAATGAACTCAAAGGAAAAGCTCTGTAAAAAAGATGGAACAGAGAAGATTGATCAGGCATATTTCAGAAGCCTGATTGGTTGCTTAATGTTTCTCACAGCAACTCGGCCTGACATTTTGAATGTTGTAAGCATTTTGTCTCAGTTTATGCATTGTGCAAGTGAATGGCATTTCAAGGCTGCAAAGAGGGTGCTTAGATATGTGAAAGGCACAAGTGATTTTGGCATTAAATACACAAAAAGCAAAGAGTTCAAGCTGATTGGTTTCTCAGACAGTGATTGGGGAGGTTTCATTGATGATATGAAGAGCACTTCAGGCTATTGTTTCACACTTGGTTCTGGTGTTTTCTCATGGAGCTCGAAAAAACAAGAAATTGTAGCTCAATCCACAGCTGAAGCAGAGTTTATTGCTGCAACAGCTACTGTTAATCAAGCTTTGTGGCTAAGGAAGATTTTAATCGATCTTAACTTAGAGCAAGAGGAAAACACGAAGATTCTTGTTGACAATCAAGCTACCATTACTATCTTTCAAAATCCTGTGTTTCATGGAAAAACTAAACATTTTAATATTAAATTATTCTTCTTAAGGGAAGTACAGAAAGATGGAGCTGTTGTTCTTGTCTACTGCAAAATAGAAGATCAGGTTGCAGATGTTTTCACCAAGCCACTGCCAGTTAGCAAGTTTGAATTTCTGAGGATAAAACTTGGTGTTTGCAGCTCCTAAAGCAAGGATGAGTGT